GATAATCATTGATATCCTGAAAATGTTTCGAATGTTTTATCATCGTTTAGGTTTTTTTGAGTTTTTTATTACGAAAAAATTTCTATTTATTCAATTTCATTTAGATGTAGGAAAATAATTTGAATATGGCAAGCAGATCCTCTATAGGTAAGTGTCAAAAATCTCCACTTTTTTCTATTTCCTCATGTTATAATTGCTATGACAATAGTTTTTTTTTACAATTTATTTTTGATAGAGTATGAAATTCTCTATCACCCCTTATCTTTGGCTTGTCTTGCACTTATAGACTGTAACGAATCAACAGAAAGCAATCGATTAAAAAAAATATTGGACACAAGAAACTTTCAAGTACTATCAAAATATATAATTGCTCGATAAAAAATATTTCTACATTGATGAAAATGCTTTTCATACATTCAATTTATTTTCTAGCATATAAATACAAAACTCAAAAAAACCTAAACGATGATAAAACATTCGAAACATTTTCAGGATATCAATGATTATGTTTTGTTTTTGAAGTATTATCCTATGGCGACGATAGATTCAAAATAAGGACTACAACTATTTTTCTGCTAGACACATATAATCAAAGAAACCCATAAATGAAAATCATAATATTTTCAAAATTATTTAGTTTATTTGAACTATAAAATTGGTTTAACCAGCTCAAATTGACACTTCAAGAAAGAAACTCATGAATAATTTTTTTTTACTTTTTGTTGGCTAACAAAAAAAACTACGTAACTCACAGAAAGGAATGTCAGAGATACTGTTCTTAACTTTTTTATTGACTCATTTATTTATATCTGTTGAAATATTATCATACAATACTATCGACCTAAATAGATTTTTCCATGAGACTTTGTTTGTTCTTCAACAAAGTTTATGAAATGTTCGATATGATCAGATTTGATCAAGACATCTGTAATTATTAAGCCATAATCATAGGAATCCGCCAAGAGTCGATATAACATTGCTTCTATGTTTTTTATGAAACACAGATAGACGATATTCAAGAAATATCAAAGAAAAAAAGTATTCAAAATTAAATTTCATAATCAATCATCGGATGATGAACGAATAACACAATAAACTCAACGTTTCTATAAGAATGTGATGTCTGAATCACTACGTTTCGTTATCTATAGACAGAACATCTACACATCGAAGGGTGAAACAATTTCAAAATAGCTTCACATTGTGTTATTTTTAAGTGAATTTCAATGGAAACGAAAAGACAATTTTTGTTTTGATATTTTTGCCTGTACTCTTTATTTGAATCGATACATGAGTTAAATGTTCTTCCCATTTGTGTTACATTCGAATGTTTATGGAATTAAGAAGAATTTTAATTATTTCTATAGAGCGTTGTTCATCGTTTGTCTGGAAAAACTTTTTAAAAAATCGTTGATCAATCTAATTACATCGATATCTGGACATTTTTCAGAAGTATTTGATCGAATTCGGCTCATCGAAGGAAACGAAATTTTTCTTATTCTAAATTGAAATAGAATAGAATAACAAGTTTACTGACAAATTACGTTAAGAATCGTAAATCTCATCGATAATAAATACAAAAGTTTATTCATTGAATAAATTTAAAGATTGCTTACAACCAATATTAAGTATCATTGCAAGATAAATAAAGCGATATGATAGAATCATTGAATACTTGAAAAAATCTCCGATTTCTTAAATAGTTCAACTATTGACATAGTATTCTATCACATGATTCTGGAACTTTGAGTGCAAAAGTTTTTCTTCTACAGTCTTCTTCATTAAGAAAAAAATAATACGAAATGATATAACAACTGTCGATATCTTAACAATATGATTTGTTTGAATTAAATTTTCACTTCTCGTCTCATAAACTATGATTTTTCTTTTTCTCTGGAATAGAGAAACAGTCACTCCAGACAGTAATACATTTATTAATATTAAAACGATATCATATCGATGTGTTCTCTAAGAAAGGAGCTGATTTTTAAAACGACGCATATAGGCATAATGTTAAAGAATAGATTTATCCTAAAAGATTTTGCAAATTCCACTAATATCTCAGTTTGCTCCGAACGTAAAATAAAACATGACTTGATAATTTAGTAGACGATGAAAAATCTTGAGAATTCTTGTTTTTTGTATTGAAGAACAAGTAGATTCTGTTGGTGTTTGACTAGGTCTGTGAAACACACGAGAAAAAATAGAATAACCCAACAATTGATTTGAGATAATTTTCATGCAGAAAACGAAAAACTTTCAAAAATCACTTCATCTTCGAAACGTAATGTATCGAGAAAATTATAAGAATCTTCACAGCTCTAAGATGAGTCTTGTACAACATTCGTTTCTTTGCTTTAGTCCAATTTTAGCATAATAGGATTCTCTTCGTTTAGAATAATTACGTGATAAACGTGTCTACACTACATCAGAAGAAAGTATGGAATGACAATTTAGAATAACACGATGAATTTTTTATGCAAAAGTAAACGTAAAGAAAAGAAATGTGAAGCTCTAAAATATCAATATGAGTCACTGATTTATGTTTTGACGCTATGAAATCTAACGACATGAAAATAACGATTGCTGAGCATTTGGATGACAGTGAGAATCGACATTTTACAGATACGGGAATTCCTGAATGTTGTTCTACGAGAAATAATTGCAATCGTTTCAGTCAAAGCGATCATAGACAATTTGAACACCTCTATATCTGACAGCTGGTTGGACCCATTGATCACTTTTGAGAAATAGTAAATCATTCAAAAGTTTTTTTTCGCGTGTGGGGTGTGGGTGTCGATGCATATTGCATTAGACGGCAAAACCTATATCGACATCGACACCCACACCTTTTTGCAGCATGAAGATTTTTTCTTTTTCTTTCACGTGACTGTCGCTTCAAGAAATGAGTACGAAATTCAATTCTTTATGTTTTCTTCCATTGAAATGAGTAAATGAAATATACTTTATTTGTTTTGAAGTATTTAGAGAAGTTCTAATTCTTAAATATATTTCTACTTCAGTAATTTTGATTAAAAATTCATATTCTATGATAAAGAAATTGTTTGATATCGTTCGACGACTCTTAATGTAATGTTCCGAGGAAACAATTACGAGTTGATGTTTCTCCTTCTGCAAAAGAACATCGCTCTCTGAGTGATTTTTGCGTTGTCACGATGAGTCAAGAAATACAAATGGATGCAACAACTTCGATGACAAATATATGACAAAAAAAGCAACTAGGAAATAATGTAGGTATAAATACTTGTTTTCAGAAAAGAATGAATACAGTTCATTCTTTGTAAGTTTCATTAGCAATACGTTTGTCCAATTCAGAAGAAAAGCTGTTAGTTCAATCGTTGTGGGAGTGAAATGTGAAACACAATGTAACTGCTGTTGGTATTCACAAGGAGTTTGTTTTCATTTATCTAGTTTGCAGAACATTTATAAATCATCCTTTTATTTATCCATTCACAAAATGAAATCAGGAAGTAGTTCATATTTTATGAGTAGATGTTTTTTATGCAGTGTCTTTGATCGTGTATCAAGAAAGTCTTGCACAATCGGTGGTGTTGTCTGAGGTAGGGGTGGGAAGTTACCGTTACCAGACAGTTACGTTCCCCGGGTAACGGTAGCTTTCCACCCCTAGTCTGAGGATGCCTGTTACGGTCTCTGATGGGGTCCCAATATTTATGTCATGACCTATAACGTCGTTCCAGGTGGCTGGCGCAGCCTGTGATGAGGTATTAGAATGTCGGTGATCGTTATTAATGAGCCTCTAATGAGATATTATTTAGATAATTAATTGGCTCATTAGTTCACAACATTTATAGTATATGACGTAAGGAAAGTTCATCTACTTTTTAGTTTATTTTTTGCATTATATGTTATATCAAGATGAATAATGCAGACGAAGAAGTTCTCATCTGGCTGCGTTCTATTGACAGTAATGTAAGAGATGAGAAAATACTGAGAGATAATGTTGAAAAGTTTGTTAATGATATTCGAATCTATGATGATGTTAATGAATGTATTGCGGAGTTGTCATCTGTATGTGAAGAAAAAATATTTTTACGACTCGGGAGCGGCTTATCACATCTCATCAACATTCTGGACGATTTTAATCAAGTACAGTACATTTATCTTAGTGAACCATCCGAATACAAAAGTAGTGTCAAGGTTCGTGGCGTATTTAATGACAACATTCAATTATTCGATCAACTTCAAAAAGATATTAACGCTTGGAAAAATCATCATGTTTATTTAACACTTTGCGATGTCGATTCTAGACGCATGGAAACAACGACGCAAGATGTTCAAAATCATGCAGCACGTTTCATGTGGTCGCAGATGCTACTTAAAACTTTACTACAGATGCCGTCGCCATCAAATAATATAAACAAAGATTTGCTTGAAGAAGCACGGCCTCTCTATGCTAATAATGAACGCGTTCTCGCTGTGATTGAGAAATTTGAACGTGAATACCAAGCTGACCATGCTATTAAGCGGTGTACATGTGACTCGTTTCTTTATCGACTAATCAACAAAGCATTACGTACTCGAGGCATTTGTTTAATTTTCAAATTTCGATATCTGATTCAACACATTCGCAAACAATTGAAGGATCAACAACAACAAATATTAGCAGGTTGGTGTTTTTCAGACACGAACCAGTTAGAACAGCATTTTAAATAGAAATATCCAGCGAAATTTATCTTATTTTTCTCCGGATCAAAAGAAGGATTCTGGACATATCCGAACTTTATGAGAGCTTCAAATTAAGATATAACTCTGATGTTGATCAGATTAGAATTTAATAGATCTGATGAGTTCTAGCTTTCAATACGAATGATCTGTGAAATAGCATACGCTTTTCAATTTGTAGCGAGTTCAAGTTCATATTGATATAGATTTGCAATCCTACGAAACACATGAATGGTACTTCTGATTTTAGATTAATATTTTCAAAGAATGAACATCCTACAAAATTGCAGCATTGTTTTTAGTTTATAAAATAGCATTTTTAGTAAGCAGATAAGTATCAATTTAGTCTTCAAGACTAAATAACAGAAAAATGGACATTATGATTAGATTGAGTAGTTTTGAATGGTACTGCACTGGAATTGCTATCTTCGTAAGCAATCATTTATATTATTGTATATTTCAAAAGTAAAAAGATCCAACATATTATAGAAAGTAGTGTTTTTCATTAGAAAAGTCACAACAAAATAGCACTTTTGTCTATTAGTATGCGTTGGCTAGAGATTCATCTTCCTCAATGCAAACATCAAGAAATGACACTATCTTTCTTGTGATTAAGATTTACGGCTTCCAATGACTCTTTATCGTGGTCAATCGATGACAACAGAAGAATTCGATGCATTACAAAGAAGCACAAATCAACTTATTTCTGTGAACACATTTCTATCGACAACAACAGATCGTGAGGCAGCTAGTATTTTTTCAGGTGAAGGTTCGTCATATTCTGGTCTCATATCAGTTGTGTATTCGAAATTTTGGTTGATTCAAATTGTGATATAGCTCTTTTACCGCCATTTGCTGACATAAGTAATTTGAGTCATATGAAAGACGAAAATGAAATACTTCTTTCGATGGGTACTGTCATGCAAGTAGTGTTAGTAAAAAAAAATGAATCAAACGACTAGAACAATTTATTTACGAATGTGTCGACATGATAATCATACTGTAGCAGAACTAGAAGCGTATTTATCTAATGAAATTCGAAACACGCAATCTAATGAGTCCTGTTATATCCATCAACGTGGTACCTTACTTTTCAATATGAATGAATATAACAAAGCTGAACAAATGTTTAACATAGTATCAATCAATGAAAACTCACTTGATGACGCTATGCGACCAATATTTGTATCCCGACTTGCTGAACGAATTTCCCGTTAGTGATAATCCTGGTCCAATTATACGAAGTGAAACTCCAAAACTTAGTCATTTGTATGAAGATCTCAGCATAAATCCTGTCGTTCCCGATCAATACCAAACAGTATTAAAAAATGCAGCTAACTTTCTAAAGGTAGCACCTGGGCAGTTTGTTGGAAATGATGTTTTGCGCGGCGAACCAGATCGACTCTTAGAGCAATATGCCGAATGTTTATGTGTGTTAGGGTCTCTGACGTGTCCTTCCAATCATCCCCTTATGGTTAATATTTATCGTATTCTAGTCATAGCAACAGCTAAATCAAGGCAAACATGTTCAAGCTATAACTTATTATGAAAAGGCATTGGCTGCATGCGAAAATTCACTAGATAAAACTAACTCAAACTATAAATTTATTCTACGCAATATGGCTGTTAGTTGTATGGAAATTAACGATCACGTCCGAGCAGAACAATTGATGCAGGGTGTGGGTGTGGAGAAAGAAAAGAACCATCCACACCCTCACCCACACGCACACCCACACCCTTAGATCAGAAGGTGATGTATAACAATTTCAAGGACAAAATTCAATGAATTGTTTTCTTTTCTATTTGCTGATTGAACCACATGTTTTTATGAAAATTATATTGCTAGTCTAAACATCCACAAATAACATGACGAACGTGTTCCAAATATGTTCGCTGATTCTTTGTTTTGACTTGAGGTCCATTGAAAATGATTTATTCACTTCAAATGAATCGATTGTGCCATGCGTATGCTAGAAACATAAATGCTGCAGATCATGAGCATGTCCATTGTGATGAGGATTATGAATCATTTTGAAATAAAACAGTATTCTATTGAACTTAATTGTAAAAATTTTCTGATGTGAACAGATGATGTATATATATATAAGTCGAACAAAGGCTCAAGCCCACACTCTCATACCCTCAGATCCTCTAAGTCTTTTTATCAGCAGATGTGTTGTGCTTGGATGGACGTAGAACTAGATGTATCGTACTTTCGCGACACAGTCCACTATGTCTGCCTAAGCCATCTCTTTGGGCTCCAGCATATACTAATCGAATCTCTTCTATTGGAATTCCCTTAAGATCACTAATATGCTGTTTATACCATTCCCAATTTTCCCATTTACCAAATGGAATTTCGAACGTTTCACCAGTTGCATGATTTTTTACAAATAACACTGACCTATGTTGATCACATATGCGATTATTAGCGGTACATAAATTATTGACGACACATGGAAATGGAGGAACTGGAGGTACTGGAGGCGATGATATATACGACCCATAAGCATCATGAAGAACGCCATCTTCTTTCTTCATGTCTGCCATTCAGTCAGATCACGATGCTATCTTACTCAAATGAATAAAAAAATGACGTTGCAAACATTGAATCGTCCGATGTACTGGTAGTAACGCTTACTTCTCAATATATTGTGTTTTAAGTCAGATGACGTTGACAGGGTGTTTGCATGCAAAGGAAGAATGAAAATACACATGTATGTTGTACTATATATAATAAGCATACGGAGAAAGGATGATTCAATCGTAATGATTCAAGAATGGTGCAAGAACAAATATGTAAGAAAATGAATAGAGAAGAGAACAAAGTCAGTAAGCAAAAAAATTATTCATAACACATTTTATAATTTTAAAACTTGATTTTTCATAATGTTTGTCAGTAGTGATCCAAACGAATATCAAGAATATAGTAATCTTCCTGGCGAAATTTTGACCTACGCATTCGAATAGTCAAGAAGCCAACATCTCTTGAAGACATTTGAGCTTGTCCTGAGAAGATTTTTCAAACGTGAATTTTATATGTGAGAGAGATTGACCCTTTTCATATTCCACAAAATCGTAACCCCTCTGCTAATGACTGATGTATTTCTAGTATGTTGCTTAGTCGTATGCACAACAGTTCGCTGATTCTACAGCTTTTAATTAAATAAAGTATCATTTAACAGAAATACATTCAGTTTCGTTTTTGTCTTCTTTTCTTCTCTGTTGTTATTCTATTTCGTATTAAAATAACTCTATTCTGCAACAAGGTATAATATTAATAATACATATACTACTTATTCTTTAATATATGTATATAGTATTGGTAAAAATTATAATATCAATTCACATTAGATGTTTTGATCTCAACTGTTGTTTTTTGATACATCCTATTTTTCTCCTATATTTATCATGATATATAGAGTCAGATATGTACTTTTAAAATATCATAAAAGTTTATTATTTCATAATTTTTTGATACCTAAGAAATTTCAGAAAAATTATCTAAATTTTTCTGATCAACACTAAAAGATCACCACAGTTTCGATTGCCCTTCCTTTTTATCACATTGTAGATCATACATTGGTTAGATATTACATGTATAAAAGTGGACGTCATCTGATGTTATTTTTCTTATTATAGATATTTCTCGTTCGATATTTACTTATATAGAGTAACTTATTTATATGCGTGTGTATTGGTGTTTCTATATCACGCAATGACAGTTACCGCTTAAATTCTGTTAACTTTGTCTCTTGATCAACATATAGCGTAAAATAATATTGTAACGAGAAAGTGTGTGCAACTTACTTTGATTTTTTATCCAATGTATTAATATCTTTGGGATTTTCATCATTGATAGAAAGAAATTTACACGAACACCGAATTTCAATTTTTCACTATTTAGAATTCTCTAGTATTGGATGTTTTTGTCTATCTCAATAATATTTATGTTATAAATGTATTGCATAAATTCTTAATTTCAACTAAAGAAGTGAGTTTCTCATCTGATTTTTACTAAAAATTTATTATCGCTGTGAAATTTATTAAAATTTCAATCCAAAAAGTGATCACCATCACTTATATATCAATACTTCAAAGCTCATTCTATTTATTTATTCGAACGTTTGACTGTCAATCAATATTTTTTTTAGGACATCCGTATTCATCAATCGATCCCATGGTGTCAAAAAACTTTCATAATTTATTTGCGCATGTTCGTCATGGAAAATAATATTATACACTCATATACAGTATATTATGTATTTGTTAGAGGCTGCCATGTGATAGAAAAATATTTTTTTTCTTATCTTTCGTTTTACCTTTTCATTCAGACCTGAATTTTAACTACATAAGTTTGAAGTGTGAACTAAAATACTTATAATAATACTAAACTATTTGTTCTAGTTTGGCAACTTGTTTTTCTTTGGTCATGGAATATCATTGGAGTCTTCAATCATCACAGATATTTTTTTATGATAGTTAAAAAGAAAAAAAAAACTAGCTTTTGTGAATGATGTAACAATATCATAAAAAAATCAAATGAACAATTTTCTGGATTACAGTTAAGTCTCTCACTTCTTACCACCACTCGTAGCACACTTTTTAATATCTTTTTTTACGACACTTTGTTTTTATATTGATCAAAAAAAAAAGTACTCCTTCGTTCGTTTGATAGAACTATTGTATATTTTCGAAGCAGATAGTGAATATAAGTTCTAAATTGAATCAGCACACAAAAGATCGGACGTAAAATCGAAGATCAGATTTATGATCCTGGTCCTCGATAACCTGTAGAAATATCTCAGCATAAATTACTTTTCCGATGTTTGCTGTTTAATTTACTGAACATATTCTTGAATCGTATAGTACAATATGTGATAATGAAGTTCAACGGTTACTGTCATAGAATCTGCTTCACATATATGAAACAAAATTAAATGCGCTATGTTTCGTATAGTTTGAGTGTATTAAATATTAATGAGGATTAATCTATCTCATTAATTGATGCTATAGCCATTTTGTAATTAGAGAAAAAATCTACTACTGGATTTCTATAAACATACTTCGTTGTTGGAATGTAATCAAAATTTTGTTTTGAATAAAATATTACCATATTTTTATTGACATTGACTTAGTATAAAACAATATTTATATTGACGAATTTTTTAAAATTGGAATGATAAAAGTAAACAATTTTATAGTCAATAATGTTTAACATAGTAAACTCTTCAGCTTTTTGGATCAGTGCGCTCTGCTCTATTACTCACATTGCAATCGATAATTTTCTATTCAAAAATAAAAGCAACTGAAAAGAAGTTTACTGATTAAATACTTTTCAAAATGTGGGCCACATAAACACACACATGAAGACAGTTCTACATATATTAGTCAAAATATTTATTGCTATGTAGAATCTAGAAAATAATGAAAAACAGTTTTGAATGGAATATTCGTTATTTTCATAAAGTACGAAATAACCAGTCTTTCGTTATCAATCCATAGGCTGTTGCGAAAAGCATTCCACCACCAAACATTCCTGCGGTTGCAATAAGAGAACCAATCAAAAGATGTGTGACACCTTTGGATTATGCACAAACACCACTTGTATAACCACCAGCACAACGTGCACCAAGTGATAATAGAAATCCTCCAAAGAAACTACTCCAAAAACCTGCTCCACATTGTTCATTTAATGGAAATTGATTTGCTGAAACTGTTGAAATAAAACTTCCTCCAACAGCTCCAAGTACGAATAATAATGCTAAACTGTTTTGTACTCCATAAGTGAATGGTTCTAATGATGGTATTAAGTTTTTAAAGAATCGCATGCAACATAATTGTGTAACTAATACAGTAAATCCAGTTGATATTCCTAATGACTTTTTATACAACATCATGAAAAATAATTGCAATGAACCAATGCCAATACCGCATAGTACCGGTGACCAACCTACTAGACTACGAAGTCCCTTCGGTGTTATTAAGTCATTTTTATAGGGAACATAATGTTTAAGAACAAATGCAGTACCAATAAATATGGAACCAAACATTAAATTCAAGTAAATAAGTTTGATACCTATCAATTCTGGAAGTTGCTTTAGAACTATGGATGACTTTGGTACTTCATCCTTTGTTAGACGTGCAGAAAGAAATGTATAATAAAACAAAACTCCACAAATAGCACCAAGACATGTTATAAAAGAATTTGTAAGACCAGAACCCCTAAATAAAAGAAAGAATTTAAATTACAAAAAGAAATTTATGAAAATAAATCAGTTACATTTGAACGAATACCGTTCCTGGACAACTTCCGGCAAGAACCATACCCACTCCAATAAGAGTTCCACCCATAAGAAGATGGAAACCTAAAGAAAATAATGCTTTCCTCTTGTAATTTTTTTTCTCTCGCAAAGGTACAGTTTAATATGATATCCTCTTAACTTCTTTTCTTACGAGGGAACCACCCGAGGTGCCCAACGCCGATTCCCTTCATTCATAGGCCGTTTGATAGAGGGCATCGAGATAGTAAAAAGACTAAAAGGATTTGTGCCCACGGCTCTTTCTTGAAAAGTTAGGACCAATTTTCTGTTCTTCCTAGCTAAAATGGCCAAAATTTGAAAACCTTACAATTCAGTCAAGAAAGATCGTATACACTTGAAATTTTCAGCACTAAAAGCTCACAAACACTGCTGATCAATCTGAAAACTCTAGATTGTTTAGTTGTTTCATTCTTGACTTACAAGAGTTTTGCTTGACATGAAAAAGTACACTCCTGCGGTTATGTATAGTGTTATCTTTTTTCAGTTTTAGATAATTCTATGCCCTCTGTTTTCATTTCCATCCTTTGTTAAATGGTTATTAACATTTGGTGACGGGGAATACATGGTATCGTTTAACAGTCTTTTTTGGCAAATGAACAAAAAGTCTTGAGAGTAAGTACATTGATTATGATGAACGGTATAAAGAAGTATTAGAATCAGCTGATATAATTCATCACTCATATGCATTGCGCTATATGTTGTGATTCTTCTACTTCCATCACGTCATATGTGTTCTTCCATGACGTCAGGTATTCTTCTATCCTTTCATGGTGTTATATGTATTCGTTTATTACGTCATGTTCTCCTCTAGATCCTTCTATACAGCACGGTGATCAAAACCTATATATAGTTGCTGAGGTTTACAAATAAAATATGTGTATATATTGAATACAGTTATCTTTAGATATTACGTAACGCAAGCAATAAGGTTTCCGCAATAATCAACTTTACAGCATACAGATTGAGAGAAGTACGACTAATTTTAAGAATACTATTGTTTGTTCTTATTGTAGGCCGGATTCGACAGTCAAGAAAAATGGTTAACCCTCACAACGTCTCGCGACTTGTCTCCAGCTACATTACCCAATGACTACCATCCATTGATTTAACTCATGCGTGTACACCACGCGACGAAGACGTGGCACGAAATATTTTTGACAGTATCGAATCAATCTTGAACTGCACTCACTATAACTTCGAAAGGGAACAAACGTTAGATTTCACTTACAGTTTTGATCAACAAGCTGAAGAATCAGAAGTTGAATCGGATGATGAAAAAGACGAAAGTTACATGGAAGATGCTAACGATGATGAAGAGAACAGTTTACTACACGAATTTTCGCTTCAGTATATGAAGAAAGTCGTTGACTTTTACGATAAAATCAATCTTGACATTGGTAAAAGGAAACATTCTTGGTCCAGTCTTCGGCATCATTTCAGAAAAGTCAAGGATAGAAGCTATATCCGGCGTTTTCGAAAATACATTGAACATCAAGGTACAAAGAAAGAAAAACTTGAAGAAATTGATTCGTTCGTTTATGAATCATTTGAAAAAGCACGTGAACAATTATTGTTTATACACGACATAGATTTGAAAAGATGGGGACTACAAAAGGCACGTGAAATAAATGATGAAAGTTTTTGTGGAAGGTAAGATTATAATAACAGTATTGCTCGAAAGTTTCTGTTTGTAGCCTTATTTCTTTTGGTCTCCTATACAATTCCTCTTCTTCCTGTTGTATGACATGATAGAACAAACTGTATGGGGCTTAACGAAGAAGATAGAAAACATCGATTTTAACGCTTTTTTTCTCTGTATGTTTCAGTGAACACTGGATTCTAAATATCGTCATGGGATTTGCAGCCGGCATGTAACAAAGCTAGTAACAAAGAGAGAAGTCGAAAGCGCAGACGAGATCAATAAATCAGCTGATGTTTTTACCTGTGACGTACAAAAGATGTTGCCAGATTACGATCCTCGTTACGTATAAAACACAGATCAATCCGATTTAGAATTGGAAATGTACTCCAATCGGACGCTTTCGTTTGAAGGTGAAAAGCTCACACTCGCTGACGTTCGATCATTACATAGTACAACACACAAATACACGGTGCAGCCGATTCTGTCATTGGCCGGTACTTTGGTTGGCAAATTGTTTCTATATCTCAAAGAACCGAATGGGCATATCAGTGAAACTATCAAACAAAGCCTATTTCAGGCGGATAATCTAATAATTACCTGTAAGTTATCCATCAGCTATGTTCTCGTATTTTTGCTCCTTTTCCTTTCGACTGTGTACACCATTCTGCCATTATTTTGTGGTGGACGAATAGCAGAACCGAAGAATGTGATGCCACGAAAGAAGAAGAGTTGAAGAATGAATGTCTAACGTGTTTTCCTCAAATTTTAGGTAGCAAATGAGGAAAGCTAACAACCAGTCTTGCACAATATTGGAGTGATCATGTACTTTTACCTTTGGTTGGTGACAAAAAATGTCTGCTCTTAAGTGATTACAGAGGTGGACAGAGGACTGAAATGTTATATAATGAAATGAAACATTTAAAGCGACTTGAAATTCCAAAAAAGACAACTTCAATGATTCAACCATTGGATGTGAGGTGGAATCGTCAGTACAAACACTTCATTCGAGAAATTTACAATCATGTTCGTCTTTATGATTTGGATTTTAGTTTAGCTCAACGAAACAATATAATAAAAATGAATAGTTTGGCCTATAATCAGCTGTCTTCACCGAAGTTCATCTCAATGAATCTTTATGTGTGGTATCAATCAGGATATTTGAAATCGAACTCTGGTTCCTTTCAGAATGTTAAGGAAGCCTGTTTTTCATTTTCTGAAGCTCGTTGTTGCCAACCAAATTGTAGAAATGCACCGTTTCTAAAATGTAGTTTCTGTTCAAAGGTTATGTGTTTCTTGCATTTCTATCATAACTATCACAAACATTGAGATTTTTTCTTTCTTGTAAGCTTGCTCTCGTTCTTTTTCTTTGATTTCTGTTAAACGTATAACCAAGATAAACACTTTGCAAATAGTTTTTTTTGCTCTGATTTTGCTTGTATAAGATTGTTGATAAAAAAAATATCTTTCTAATGTGAGAGATCTCTACATGGCAGATCGGAGATGACGTTCATTCTTGGATGGACCACGAAATTTCTCACACAACATTGAGTTTTCTTACTTTCGAAGCTCTCACACAAAAATTAGATTTCTTCAGGCTACGGAATTCCTGTTTTTAAATGATAAACAAAATTCTGCAAGTCAAGAATGAAACAACTAAACAACCTAGAGTTTTCAGATCGATCAGCAGTGCTTGTGAGCTTGTAGTGCTGAAAATTTCAAGTGTATACGATCTTTCTTGACTGAATTGTAAGGTTTTCAAATTTTGGCCATTTTAGCTAGGAAGAACAGAAAGTTGGTCCTAACNTGGTCCTAACTTTTCAAGAAAGAGCCGTGGGCACAAATCCTTTTAGTCTTTTTACTATCTCGATGCCCTCTATCAAACGGCCTATGAATGAAGGGAATCGGCGTTGGGCAACTCGGACGGTTCCCTCGTCAGAGAAAACTTATCAAACCAAGACGTTTTCACTAAATCCTAGTTCAAACTATCGACCAACTCTCAAGAAAATTGTTAAAGAGAATCGATTGATCATCAATGCATTTTTCGTCGCTCTATTCAGCAAGTCTAGATTTGCTCTTATGTAAGTTTTATTAAAAGTAATCTCACATCTGTTCGGAGAGTATGGATGTGACAGATAAAACCAATACTCGCACCCACACCTTCGGGACTTTTTTAAATAAACATTAACCACGCTCGAGTTTTCTGGACATCAAGTCAGAGACCAAGGAGCGCAGTATCTCGTCAATGCTTTACATTCCAGCATGGTGAAACACATTCTCTACTCATCCTTCTGATTGACATCTGTGATTTTATTTCTGTTCTTTATATCTTCAAATACTGACGTCAAGTTCGCTGCAGCATAAGATCCATTAAGATAACAAAAAGAACAAAAGTAGACGATAACGACATTTCTTTTTTCTTTCTCTTCGTGATTTATACAGCATTATTTTTTCTTGTAGTTAAATCCACTTGAGTCCATCATCACAGCTAGAAGGATTATTTATTGTGAAACAGAATCAAAACATGTTGTGCTTGTTGTTAACGATTACGCTTGCTCTTCTCTTAACTACAAATGCTTCGACTTGTCCAAATCGACAATTAATAGAAGAATCACTCAAGCAAGTTCATATTCCGGGTGCTGTAATTGTCGTAGTCAATGCTACTCATATACTCTACGAACAAGTTTTCGGTTACCAATCCTTATCACCGGAACAACCTATGGACGTTGAAAGATCGATTTTTCCTCTTGGTTCGATCTCGAAAACATTCATTGCAATCGCTGTCATGCAACTTGTCGAACAAGAACTCGCTGATCTTGATACGGACGTTAACCAATACTTAGCGGAATCTCAGAAACGCATATATCATCCACAGTATCCTTCTCACGCAATTACACTGCGCAAGTTACTGTCGCATTCAGCTTCGATTGATGTCAGACCTGACGCGCAAAATACTCATTTGCGACCAGGTGATGATGCATACAATGAATCATTAGCTGATGGATGTTTCAAATATGTGAATCCAAACACATCAAACTGGTTACCAAGACCACCAGGTAGTGTAACATGGTACGCAAATCTTGGTGCATCACTAGCCGCACTAGTTGTTGAACGAGTAGCAAACATGTCCTACATTGATTATATTGAAGAAAGAATTCTGAAACCGCTGGGCGTCGATATCAGCAAAACTGGTGTGCGTCTATCAGATTTTGAAAATACAGAAGATCTTGTCAAGCATTATGTTTATGCATTCAATACATCTCATCTTGAGCAGTGGAAAAGATTTATTCCACATTTGAATATCACGCAAATAAAGGTAAACGCGTCAATATAACTGTTAATATTGTTGTTACTTATATTTTCTGCAGGACAATCTTCCTACATGGTTGTGCATTCCACACTTTGGCTTCAGTGTTTATCCTTCTGGTCTCTTGCGCATGTCAGCTCGTACCCTATCTGTATACCTTCAGATGTTCCTTAACAAGGGATCTTCAATTCTTCGTCCTCGATCTATTGCGGAAATAGAGATAGTAGTGGGCGGCGGTCTCATACCAGAATACAACCAAAATTTGGCTAGTAATTCCACGGGACAACATGCACCATATCAATTTGGTCTCAGTTGGTATTGGGATATATTGAGTGATGGTCGTCGATATATTGGACACGGCGGTTCGATTCCAGGCATTATAAATTTAATGTTGGTCAATGAAAAGCACAATGTGGGTGTGATTGTTCTCTCAAATGGCGATGCTACTTCAGGAAGTGATTTGGCACAAGAGGTTGTTAACACATTGGAAAACATTCATATATCGCTTTTTCAATGTTTTGACACTGATATGGTTCATGCATCCTCCGTGGAAATAAAGAGAACTCTCATTGACCTTTTTCTCGCTATTCTTGTTCTTTATGCCACTTTTTGATAACTGAAATATCAATTTTTCTATTGCCTTTTATATAAAATTGGATGGCATGAGATTGTGAATGTGGGTCGCTGTATCTGTATTCTTTTCATTTTCCACCCACACCCACTGCACATATGGATGCAAAATTGATAGAATGCTTAAGAATGAAAGGTGTCAATGAATGATATAGATTTGTAAATGATACCATTGTATCGATCGACTGAAAAGCAGATATAAATGATATTCTAACAATATTAAATGGTTTTCACGAATCTATAAAATTCTTTCATGAAACAGAACAAAAAAGCTGTCTTCCTCTTCTTGAATTATAATTCGAAGAATATCTAATGAAAACTGATTCTGGAGCAGAATGTAGCGTAAAAACATCCATAATGAACATATAACTAATTGAGACTCATTTTTTCCAGTACAATATGAAAAGACTTATATAGCCAATATGATTCAGCGAGTAACTAAAATATGCTCAACTTATAAAGATGTATCAACAGAATTACAACACATACGAAAGGTTGGTAGACTTAACTCATATTCATTGACTTTTACCGAAAATTGCATCTCCAAACGCTTCAATCAATACTTCAAAAATCAAAAGGATAAAAGCAGCATTAGCACAGAAGATCAAAAACAAAAAATGTTCTTTGAAATATCATACATAGGAAAAACTACTGATGTACTTAAGAAACACATGAAACGAATAGTCATAAAATGTAGACCTGATATAAAACTACTTCTCTTTGTGAAAGAAGAAAAATCTATTCAAAAACAATCCGAGAATTTATGCTCTCAGATATAGTGTACCAAGTTTCTTGCGAAGATTGTGATGAAACTTATATAGGAAAAACTTAAAGACAAATACTACATAGACTTACAGAAGGGTGTGGGTGTGGGTGTGGGTGTGGGTGTGGGTGTAGGTGTGGGTGTGGGTGTGGGTGTAGGTGTGGGTGTGGGTGTGGGTGTAGGTG